GCAGTTTACTACGGTAGTATTATTCGCGGGAAAAATGGACACGTGGCAACTACAGACAGCGCGGGATACGAACGTCGAATGAGGACTCTCCCAAGTCCGCAAAGGACGACACTTGGTTGTGCTGAAGAGGAAGACAACAGGAGAGTGATTGGTTGTTTGATTGTTTGATTACTCGATTACGTGATTACGTGATTGATCGCTGGCTTGGGGGGCAAGGGAGAGAGAAAGAGGATGCAATGAGGCGAGTGCTGTGCTGCGCTCACGTGGCCCGAGCAAACACCGCCGGGCGGAATTCAACGGCAGACACCGAGCTCACGCACAGCCACCAACTGAGCGCTGCTCTAATCTCTTCTAGAGTGTCGAGCCTCGCCGGCCACTGACCAAATTGTGGAAACATGGGGCATACTCTCGACAAGCACAAAAGCAAAAAATCATGGCGGTGTATCTATCCACGTTCTAGCCGAAGATTCACTCTCGGTTTGCATATTTCGAGTCCAGGGGAGCGAGGCCTATTGATTGATGGCCAGGTTCATCCTCGCTTCTATTCCACATTCCACATTTGGTGCGGCGTACGGCGAGGCCTGTCGTCCCATCAGCAGCAGACCAGGATAGGGCTCAGGCGAACCACTCACCAAATCTGGAAGGACAAAAACGAACGAAGGCGGGTGTATATTCCCGGGTCCCACGTGATTATACATTCTCTGTTTTAGGTCTGGGCCCCACTGCACGGGACCTGGCCAAGCGCTTACAAAAAAAAAAAAAAAAAAAAAAAAAAAAAAAAAAAAAAAAAAAAAAAAAAAAAAAAAAAAAAAAAAAAAGACCCAGCCAAGCCCTTGGGCGTGCAGTTGGGGCCAGAGCGAACAGGAGAAGAGACCCCACCGCATCCTGCCCCAACGGACCAAGTTACCAAAACAGGAAGGTTTGCCCCGACTTTCCTGAAAAGGACAGGGAGGCTTGCTCTCCATTTAGAACTGCAGTTATTGGCTCTCCTGCCTACCACCTCGCCGGGGGGGAGGCCACCTACCCTTTGGAATGTGCAAGTGCAAGATTGACCTCTTCAGTAGGCGCTAACAGAATCGACAGGACGGTCACCATACCATCGGAAGCGACGACAATGTGAAACGACAAACAAAAGAGGAAAAACGAAAGAAGAAAGGAAGGAAGGAAGAAAGGAAGGAAGGGAGGAAGGAAGAGGAAAGGAAGAGAGAAGTAAAGATAGGTACACCAGTTAAAAAGCGTCTCGCGAACGCGACATTAAAGATATGGCAATGAACACAGGCGGTAAGGACCCGACTAGTTTCGGCCGGCCGCCACTGGCAGCTCATCAGGGGTCTTGGTCGGTCGTGAGGTGTCTAAACAAGTAGACTATGCTAATTTATACTTTGTGTACTGAAATAGTACGGACCAGACCACTGCAGTTTTTTTAACAACTTACCCTTATCGCCCGAGATTTGAACTACTATCCTCGTTCATCAAGGTAAACCTCACCTGAACGGACCCCGGGACTGAAACCCGCAGGACCGACTTCGAAAGAGCCACATTCTACAACCACAACCGAATCTTCAAGAGACCGTCAATTGAAAAAAGAAGAGAGAGAGAGACCTCACAGTAATGCCCCGGGACTGTAACCTGCGGGCCGACAACTTCTACTAATTTCAATCGGGACCAGACCAAGCCCCAAAAACGTCCGTCGTAATACCACCAACTTCAACCGGCGTCGAACCGTGCTCCTTCCAAACGCAAAACTTACCAATGTAACCGCCAATGTGAAAAACAAAAAAACGAAGGTCCCATGCTATTCACCAGAGCAACTTACCCTCTGGAATGGTCACAAAAAACAGGAGAAGTGACTGCTGCAGCCAATGGGGGGTGACAGGGGTGATGTGAAAAACAAAGGCTTCATTTCTTACAGGCCACTTCCTACAGTGGGGGAACCAAGACCCGTTTTTAGGGCCATTCTGTCTTTTGTGTGAAATTTGGTTGAGTGTCTCGAACCATGGATAGATCATTGCTGATTTTTCTTTCTTTCTTTTTTAGTAATCAGGTTATTTCTTTTCGGAATAAATGAATTTGGTCCTGATGTCAGTTATTGTGCTTCAGTTTCCAACATGAAGTGGTGGCAGTGGGTTCTTATCCGTCCTTAGGGCGGGTGAGAAGATTAGTAGTAGTCGGTTAATTCTGTCTTCTGTCTAAGTTGGTTGAGGGTCTAGAACCATGGATTGGTCTCTGCTGTTTTTTCCTTTTAGGAATAAATAAATTTGGTCTAGATGATAGTTATTGTGCTTCAGTAAGAAGTGTGGCAAGGGCCTACAACGTCGTTTACGCCTTCGAAGGTTCTTACCGGTCAAGGCCAAAGGGACAACCTACTCGTTAAGATAAAACTGTTTGAGGCCAAAGGGACGGCCTACTCGTTAAGACAAAAAGGTTTGCGGTGTCATTCCTGCACAGACAACCGATGATCCCTGAAGAGGCTGGGTGGCGCCAGCTGAAACCGGTCGGATCACGCCACGGTTTCTGACTTCGGCTCGATACTTTCAATGAGATTTTTCCACGAGCCAGTCGCGTTCGGGATTTACACCTTGTCGAATTGCTCTCTCTCTCTCTCTCTCTCTCTCTCTCTCTCTCTCTCTCTCTTCTCGGTCAGCCTGTGTCGTTATTGAAAGTCATGCTATGAGACTTCGTTGCCTTTGACAACTACTTGCATACGTGGAGTAACTGGTGTAGAGATTGTACTACTACAACTGAGTGGCTTCGTTTTCCTAAGTCTGACAAACTTTCTGTTGACGTCGCACTATGACTTCTAATCAACCTATCTCCTCTCAAATCGTGCATACCTGCTACAATTGTGGTCAGCCGGGGCACTTTGCCCGTTTTTGTCCTTATCCCCCTCGGAACTCTATTCCTTTTGGTCCCAGTAAAGCCTTAGTTCCCCTGCAGGCTCCTTTGCTTAATCCCCCCGTTTCTAACTCGGGGCCGACATCTAGCTACAATAATAACTACAACGGTGGTGGAGGGTGGAACAACACTAATCGGAGGTTGGCGACACTGGAGGACCAAGTTTCTAAAATGAAGACAAGGCACGATGTTGAAGAAGCCAAGGAACGAGAAAAAAAGGAAGCAGAAGAAAAAGCAGTCAAGATCAAGGAGGAGGAAAATCGTAGACTGAAAGATAAGAAGGAGAGAGAGGAGCAGCAAAAAGAGTTTGCGACATTGATGAATGAGCGATTTAATTCGATGCAGGATGCTCTATTGGGCAGGAAAGAAGATGGTCAAATCGGCGAGATCTTAAAACCGGTGGATGTGTCACTTCATCCAACAGAAGCGTGAAGCGGATTTGTGATCTTAAAACCGCGAATCGTCGTGCTCAAGAAGAGACCGAGAGGAGACTTGCGAGAATGGAAGAGGAGATGCAGCAGCTGAAAAGAAAAAGGGATGAGGCAATGGTTAACGTCGAGAATTGGCATAATGAAGCCATGTGGCCAGGGAATAAGAGGGGACCACTTGTGATTGGTCCTACACCTACTACGCAGGCGAGAGGACGACCATAGCACACGCCCGTAAGAACTCCTACTACCAATCACACGGTGGAGATGGCAGCTTGTCACGCTAAAGAAGTCGCTACCCTTAAGGAGCTTCACATGCAAGAATTGAATGGTCGAAGGGAAGCGGAGCAGGAGATGGAGAGATTGAAAGGGGAGATGACGCGGTTAGAAATGGAACGCTAGAAGGTGTCTGGTACTAACCGGCGGAAGAAGATGGAGGAAGCAGCCAAGGCTTCGGGCTGCAAGACCGGTAAGGGTAAACAACCAGTGGCGGTTCCGATGACAAAGAGAGATATGTTTATCGTTGAACAGAGATGATGTCTACAGAAGAAGAACAGAGAAGGTAACGATAATATGTGAGAAAGAAGAGTGGTTTATAGTAACTTTATACTACGTTGGATAGGACGAAAAAAGACATAGTAAGCAAACGGGTGACTCTGGTGTTTGACAAATCACCTGCTGATGCGGGAGTTCAGGAAGTCTCTGATGATGCCGAGAGTGCCGACCTTGCATATGCCGATGAACATGAACTCTCCTCTTAAGTTTTGTCTCGGACGCAGCTCGTCTATGACACTTGGCTAACTGGTGTGTAAAGTTAAGACTATCCTCCCCCCATCTACTTTGATATAGATCGTTGAACATCCTCTTCTATTTGGTAGTGATTTGTCTTATTCTATCTCAGCAAATTTTATGGGGTTGTAAGTTAGTCGACTTCATTACCAGACTGTCTGAATCCCGTTTTGACTTTGACAGTTGTAAGGGTCCGTTGGTATATGTCCTTATTTAGTCATGACATCGTCATATGTACGTGGGATGTACCACTCGCGGTATTTGTTCTCGTTGTATTGAGCATGTTTATAGGGAAAGCAACTTGACTCTTGTAGAACGTGGATGTTGTAATGAACGACTTTATGGATGGTTGAGGAGAAGTGGTGTTCATAACTATGTTGCTATTCCAATCTGTGTTAGTGCAGCTGAAGAATTATGTCTGTGTGAAAAGTTTTTCATTCGTCATCTTTCTTCGTCCTTGAATGTACGAGATAAGTCCATAAAATCTAGAAGACAGAGAATAGGTCTTCGTGAGAGATTGAGAGAAAAGAGACGTAAATCTCAAGATAGTAAGACTGTGGCACATAGCGATAAGTCTTTGCTTGTTTTTCACTCAAGTTCGGATGTAGTTTCATCTAGTCTAAGTAAGATCCTGGAATGTTGTCTCGATGATGGGAGACTTAACTGTGTAGTTGTTTGTCATGGAGGTGATACCTTGGTTGACTTATGGAAAGTGGTGAAGAAACGTTTTGGTGCCTCTACTACATCTTGTGAATTTAGTACAGGCCAACTTCGCTATTCATGTAGTTGGTTGAAAGGTGGGACGGTTCTCTCTTTTCATACCATTAATGTGTTTATGAGTAGGTCCTTGTTGTTGAAAGACCCACCATTTAAACTCCTTAGTCAACCGCATATCCGGCGTGACTTATATGCATGGGAGTTTGACCAACTGATCTACGCATATTCAACTATTTGTTCTTTCTCTGAAAAACGTACCAGAGCTAGATTAAGGTATACCTTATCTCTGGTAGCCAACATCAGATTTGAAGTACATTTGCGAGAGAGATTGGTAGTGCAGATTGTGTTTGATGACTCACTGTCTAAGGTAACGGTTAGGAATTTTTGTTCAGGGGTGTAGCCTAACTATTTCATCTGCATGGAATGACCTGCTGATCAGACGAATGCGGGCAGTGTGGTGTAAAAATGGAACCGTGGGTGATGTTATATACAACTTTCCCCGTT